TTTTGAATAACGGTTCACGACGATGAGTGCAGATTCTGTCAAATTTTCGATTAGTTGCAAACCAACGACCTTGGTCGCAACACTGATGTATAGATTCTACAATAAACCCGGTGGGAAGACAACACAGAATATTGCAAATTTTGTGTGAAAAGGTAATTAGTCTGTGTGCATATATAGCCAAACACCACTAGTGAAAGATTATATGGGCATATCCCCATCCGTTGCCCTTGAATGCAATACAATCAGGAAACATATAACATCCGACTATTACAAGCTTCAAGCAACAATCAATCTTTCATGTTTTTCGAAGGTTTACGTCACTAATCCTAGCAACCTGATGTATTAGAAAACGTTAAGCCTTCTAGATTATCTGCTTAAAGCATGTTCCAAATCATCAGCTGGCAGATGATGTCGATGTCATTAATTTCATACTACTGACAAATGAAAGGTGGTGAAAAGTACTATTTAGCAGCCAGGGTGTACCACAACATCTACATTTTAATCTTGTATCGATTGTGCTGTTTGCCTCAGGGTTGTATGTCGTTTGCGTTCATGAAAATACGAAACTTCTTTCATGCAAAATATGCGTGAGAAATAAGGCTAAAAATGAGTCGTTCTAATGCCAAACAACGAAACGCGTTTTCTACGGCTTAGTTGCTCTCGATGGAGAAATTTGTAAGCCACATTTACTTGGGATAATTTGCAATATCGTAGTATGCGAAGTTAACTTTATAGTATGCGAATTTTATTCTCAGCTGGAACTTTGTTTGCACGCACGACCTTTTATGCGTGGAGAACGCCCGCCTGAATAGGGATATAAATGACAGGCAGATTGGGGCATAGAGGTTGATGGGGGCAAACAGAATGACTAGAATCATGCATACTTGGTAAGGTATCGGTCGTTTGAACAGCATTCGAATGCCCTATACGTGTCTAATAATTTGAATGGAACGCAAGTGTGTTGCCGTCAATTAATTGCTCGAATTTAGGCACGACATTATACCAGTCAGATATTTGGCTGTTGCAAACCTGAAATACACTTAGAGTTTCACTCGTGATTTCACCTTTGTTGAGAATTATCTGGTTCACGCTTCGCCGGAGAGTCCTGAACCCGATGCATCCCGGCGGTCACTAGGAGGCTGATCCAACTGGTCGCGAGCAGCTGATAAGTTAGCTTCGCTCCCCACTGGGTAACGCTGTTTGATGGGTATTCTCTATTGGATTCAAAACACCGAAAATCGTCGTAAGCATGCTAAATCAAAATATAGTGTCAACACTGTTTCGATGCATTGCGTATAACAGTTTATTCGAGCGCCGTCACATCAGACAACTTTGCGTCATGGCCATTACATCAGCTTTCACGGAACGTTTTCGTGATAACCCATCAAACTCTTTCCCATATGCCATTGTGAAGAATAACATAAACTCCGTCAATTTTTTATTAGTATGGCGTAAATCCGGCGCCAGAATTTATCCCAAAAGTGCATTGCTGATTCTTCCGGAATTAAATGTTTAAATGTTTGAACGTGTTGCACATCAATGGGTAGATAGTTTCCAAGGTCGCCAATTTCCCTCACCACGAACAGTCATCAGGAGCAGCTGTACATTTGGGTAAGAAAAGAATCAAACGAGATTTTTCATCACATCAGGGTGTTATCGAATAGGGATGAATAGTAATACTTATAGATCACGAGATTTTGCATCACGTTTCACGCCACACATCGACCTGACCTCCACTGATCGACAATTTATACATAACGACCTCTACAAGTCGTTATGCGTATAGCCGAGTGATTGTAGGAAGAATGAGGAGGGCTCCATATGAAACTTTACCCGACTGCGGACAGCTCATCTTTTTTCTTTCCCCTTCTGAGGTTTTCTTCTAATTGATCTGGCCCCTGATGGCTCGTTGAATAATTAACTGAGGTTTGTCAATTCCTGACAAATTGTGTGTCTAGCTTCGATTTGCGATAGTCCCAATAACCACCGATAACACTCTTGGTCTTGGAAGATGTTTTATCCGGGTCCATTGTAGATGGAACTCTTTAAAGAAACTCGAAAGATGTTCCTGTTCGTCTGTTGTGAGTATCATCACTCAAACTGGAAATGTACTTCTTCTGGGTCTGCCAAAGATGTAAGGAGCGAGATGGGACCTCAAGAGCCTGATGGTTTTTGCGTCTTAACAACTCCTGGAGCATCTCATACAAGTTTTCTCATTAAGTAGGATTGACTGATAGATTTATGGGTTTGATTCCCTCCTCTGGCTGTCTGCAAAATCCACCACCAGTGCAACTAGGCTCTTGGGATAAAGGCCATAATCAAATACACCAATGAACTCCTTTGTATTTCCGGATCTCCCTTTGTGACGGCACATATTACAGACGAGGCACACGAGTAGTATGTGGTCTCCTTGAAGCTCCTGGCTACGTCAAATGTGAGGTTGACTGTATTACTTAACTCGTGGAAATGCTTTACGGTGTCCGTTTACATTAACGTATATTTCACCCTCTTAAGACTCCAGAGAATGTTCAGTTTTCGACATCATAGACACTCCTCGATGAAGGGTATTCCTCCTTACACTGGTGTTATCACGGGATAGTTTTGCGTATCGATTAGACGCTTACAAGTGATCCCATGTTACATCGGCCGCGGTAGTTGTCATCAAACCTGTTGCATTGTGTGCTGTATACCGCATGGCTTTTAGGCCTTTACTTCTTGTTATTTCATATATCCTGTATGCCCACTTTCCTCAACCCCTGGTAGTGACAAACACGTAGGCACGTTTATATTATCTGAGGGATCTGTTTACCTCCTATTGTCGTCAACTGCAATATTAGCGGTCAGTTCGGTCTCCAAATTTTGAACACTCCGAAAATATTTTTTGTTCGTCTCTAATTTTTTGATGTTTGCGCGGCATCCTTGTTCGCTGGACACGTTTTTCGTTTCAACAAGAAGAGGAATTAAGGTCCCATGAGGGTTCGTGTGCTGATTTCTTCGTGGTTTTCCGCCGGCTCACAGTGGAGCTCCTCTGGTGA